TTCATGGTATAAAGTAAAAAGATATCACTATTTCTCAATATTTTTTAAAACTAAGTGAATTATGGCAAGAGCTAGACTACTACCAAGACTTCTAGGCCAATTGTCCTGGAGATGCAATCAGATTTCAGAATTGATATAAAATGAGCAGATTTATGATTTCCTAACTGACTTGAACACCGAATATGTCAGACACAGGTCCAGGTGTTTGGTAAGGATACTCTTCCCTCATTACAACATGCTTATTGTTATGTCCAGCAAGAATAAAGTATAAGGAATGTCATACTTCACATACCACCAATGGAGAAAACTGAATTAATTGCTCAATCTGACTAGTCCAAAGATTTACGGAAGTGTGACTATTGTGGCAAGCCAAAACACACTAAGGAAACTTCGTAAAAGTTGTATGAAAAACCAACTAGAGATCGTGAGAGAAGGAATAGTGGGCATACAAGAGCTCAAGAAAATTTACTTGAGGCAAGTGAAACACCAAACACACCAACAGTTTGAACATTTTCAAATGAGGATATTCAAATCGTAAATCATATTCTGTCTCAATTTAACTATTCATCAACTATAAGTGCAACAAATCTAGTAAAATCAAAATCTTCGAACAAGTAAGATGATTGGCACTGGTAAACTGAAAGATGACTCTTCAGAACTTGGTCTGCAAGTTGGGCATGTGGGATATCTATACATCAACTTGAGAGGGGGTATTGGGTACCATATCTTATTAGTTAATTATTTTAGTTTATTATTTAATTATTTGGTATTATATAATTAAGATTCTATTAAAACTATAATCTCATATAATTAGAAATCTAGTATAATAAGAATTTCTCTATCTGTAGGTTAGGAATGTTATAAATACCCTAAATGTAATAATTTAAAAAATGAGAAATAAAATTATTATTTTTTCTCCAAAATCAACAACAGCAAATTCTTCCACTTGCCTTGTTCCAGTAGTATATTTAATGCTTCTATGACAATAATTAACAATAAAGGAGAGAGAGAGGGTTTCCTTGCCTCAAACCCCTTGATGCTCTGAAAAAAAAAAGGTATGTCATTCACTAAAACCGCAAAACTACTAGTGGAAATACACCTTCTAATCCATTTTCTCCATTTCTACCCAATGCCTAGTATGTCTAGCATGTAGTCAACAAAATCCCAACCGACATGATCGAAATCTTTTTCCATATCCAATTTACAAGGGACCCATACTCTCTTGTTGTTAACCATATCATCAACCACTTCATTTACAATCATAATCACATCAGTAATTTGTCTCCCTTCCATGAAGGCATGTCGGCATTCCCCAATGACCATATTCAATACTTTAGATAGGCATTTAATAAAGACAATAGAAATGAGCTTGTAGATACAACCGACCAGACTAATGAACCCAAAGTCCCTTATGCTCTTGGCTCCCTCCTTCTTGGGTATCAAAACTATGAAAGTAGAATTCAGTGATTTTACAAAGGACTTTCAATTGTGAAATTCTTTAAGATGCTCAATCATATCCTCCTTGATCATAGGGCAGAAATCTTGAAGAAATCTCAAATTGAATCCATCAGGCCCCGGGGTCTCGTCTCCATTATAGTCTCGAAGACCTTCAGCTATTTCATCCTCAGAGGCTTCAATTTCTAACTAATGACTACTTGTCTCGTCAAGCTTCTTAAATTGAATATCATTTAGTCTTGGTCTTCTACTGAAATCTTTACTCGTATAATTTCTTGCAGTACCCCTTAACGGCTTTTTTCATTACCTCATTTCTTGTGATGCATCAAAATAATCTCCCACCTATATCCAGATATAGGCAAGAATATAGGGTAGGCTTGGGAGATGGCTTTTCAGGGACCATGTTGAGTAACATACCTTCCTAGTGTCACATCCCAATCGTCCCTCCATTCCCATGGATACTTTTGACCACCCTATGCCACGAGGAACTGGTTCCCTTAGAAATGTCAGAGCTATTTAGTAGATAAAGATATATTTCCTAATCTATTCCTTTCAATCCTCAAATCTCCCAAACTCTTGGATTTACAACACACTTCCCAACAAACTATTAATCCTTATTATCCTCCCCTATCCCCAACAAACTAGACGATCTTTATTATCCTCCCCTATCCACACAAAAGAACCTTCTCGTAGACCCTTAATCCTCTTTGCTACCCCGCAAGGCATCCTAAAGAGAGATAAGTAGTATTATGGAGTGCTAGAAAGACATACCAAAATCAAGGCGACCCAACACACTAATGTGAATAGTCCTCCCTTCCAACAATCGAAGCACTTAGCTACCCTGTTTTCTACTCTATCCCAGAAGGACCTACTGCATGGATTACCCCCCAAGAGGACACCTTAATATACAATTGGCTGCTCTAACTCCACATCTAACTCATCCATTTTATCCTCTACCACATTAACCCAATAATCCCAATCTTACCCAAGTTGATCATTAAGTCCAAAATAACCTCAAAAACCTGAATAAGAATCAAACCCTAAGAAATGGATCAGTTGTTATGTTGCAAGAAAAGGATTGTACCATCTCTAAATTGAAGGCGTGAAAATTACCAGATCCTTACCTACCTTCAGTCCCTTCACACAGTCTCTCCTTTCTACCTGTGATAACATCCTACTCTATCTACAACAAGGGTGAAGAGAAAGGGAGAAAGGAGGTCCCTTGTCTCAACTCATTGGGAACATAACGAAATCATGTGGTTTTCCGTAAACCAGTACTGCAAACTAGAAGGATGTCGAGCATCCCTGGATCCACTTCCTCCATCTATACCCAAATCCCTTTTTTTCCATGATCCTATCCATGAATCTCCAATTAGCTAAGTCATAGACCTTTTTAAAGGCTAGTTTTAGCACCAGCCATTTTCTTTAGATATCCTGGTAGACTCCACGACCTCATTGGCCACTAGAGATGCATCTAGGATCTATCTACCCCCCATAAAGGCACTTTGATCAATGAAAATCGTATAAGCAAGTGGTTCACTAATTCTTAGATAGAGTACCTTTTCAATACTTTTATAAACGCTCGTCACTAAGCTAATTGGCCAATTGTTTTTCTAGATTTATCCCTTTTTTGGGACTAAGGTAATAAAAGTAGAGTTCATGCTCTTACATACATTACTATTACCTTAAATACTTTAACCAATTCCCCTTTAATCCCATCCAAACAATCCTTGAAAAACTCTAAAGTGAACACATCAAGTCCCAGTGCCTTGTCACTTCCCAATTCCCACACTGCCCGCCCAATTCTTTCTCCTCAAATGGTCTCGTTGCCCTCTCAGCTTGCTCAATAGGACTAGGTGCCCACTCAATGCCTTCAAGGAAAGGTCTATGATTGTTTCTTCAGTATATAGCCCCTGGAAGTCTATAGTGATCTCCTACTCTATAGCCTCACAACTTCTCTTTACATGCCCATTCTCAAGTTCCAATTCCTTGATGGCACTCTTCCTTCTTTGCTCATTGACCACTCTATGAAAAAGGTGAGAATTAGCATCTCCTTCCTTAACCCATTTCAATTCAGACTTTTGTCTCCAACTTCATTCCTCACTAATCAAGACTAAGTCTAGCACATTCTTTAGCTCTATCAATCTCCCTTTTCAACACTCAAAAATGGTTCCCTCTACTGCCAATCTATCAAGATCTTTAATCTCCTCAGGTATCCTGCCTTTCAAAAATATATTCTCAAACTCATCTTTGTTCCAATCTTTTATTTTTTTCCCTCAAATTTTTCATTTTGTGCATGAAACTAATGCCCTCCCAACTTAAACCGTTTACATCCTTCCACCCTTCTCTCACCACATCTTTGAAACCCATATTACTTCCCCAATACTTGTAAGGAAATTAATCTATTTACTCGACAAATAGAAAGTAAGGTAAAGCACATCAACATTCTATCTTCCATTCTTAGTCATTCTAGTGAATGGGAATTTCTCAAGTGCTAATAAAAAGTGACCAACTAAGGAGCAAAATATACAACACTGACAAGTTATATCAGACAAATCCCTCCAAACACCAAGCTATTTGTATAAAATGACAAACATACATTGAAGACTATCTCCTCAAGATATATCTACATGCTACAGAACTTGCACTTAAAGGTGCTAACTTTCTTTTTTGTTCAACTAAGTCCTCAAACTTTTATTTTGAACAAAATCAGCGTCCAATCTTCCTCATTTTGTTCAATTAGAAGGAGTATGACCTTTTACCTTGAGTAATTAGATGTCCAATGCTCTCTCATTATGTTTAACTTGGTGCCCGATATTTACGATTCTAATTAGTTGAGTGTCTCTTTCAGTTAACAATATTAAATATTGTGTCACTAAACATGCTAGGTTATGTACAAAAGTTAAAGATAATATATTAAAAAATAAAAGAAACACAGTTAATAGTAAATGAAAATTATCTTCATTTCAAAAAAAATGACAATTATTCTAAAATTTCAAGAAAAGAAAAAGAACTTCAAGAAAATGATAGTTGCTGCTCTCATCACCTTCGTCACTCTGCATTTTTACGAGGTAAAATACAGAGTGATAAAAACATGAGGACAAGGATTTTAATTTTTTTCCTTTCCTAATTTTAAGATATTTTTTACTTCTTTTTCAAATAAAGTGGGATGTCATGTGAAACCAGATTAGATATTGCTTACTGACAGAGGCACTCATCAAGTACAATCAAAAATATTTGCACCTACTTACACACAATCAGAAATGCTGAGCATCTAATTGCTTAAATTAGAAGTTTGACCATCTAATTGAACAAAATGAGAAAGATTGTTGTCCAGAACAATTAGGCACTTAATTCAACAGAATGGAAAAGATTAGCCAGCTTTAGGTGCATTTAGCCAAAAAAAAAAATCTACATTCTAATAGCTACACAAATTTTCTTGTCCCTCAAGCAAAAGAATTGGTATTTTTGCTTGCTATGGATCAAGGCTCGTGAAATCTTTTTCATGAAAAAGATTTTTCCCTCTTATAGGAGGATAATATATCCTCCTATTATTTACTTATCGATTTTGTTTCTCTTAGTGTTTCTTTCTTCCCAGAAAAAAAGAACAATAGCTTTCTAAAAAAATGTTTCTTATAGGTAAAGCATATAATAGGAGACAAATGTACCTCTAAATTTGACGACAAGTTCAAGCCATTAGCGTTGAGGCTGCGAATCCTATGGCCCCTAAGATCCAACCTCTGATGCAAAAATAAAGCAGTCATTAGCTAATTATAGAATGTAGGAAGGAGAAAAATGACATTTGATGAAGATTTATCTTCAATGCCTTCGTAAATATAAAATTGTCATGGACAACATACAAGTAACGAAAGTACCATAGCAGAAATGACAGTAACAAAATCAGAACTAATAACAACAGTGATGCTAAAAATAGGACATTCCTAGCAATTTAAATACATAATCTTCTTATTTAGAAACAAATGAATAGAAGGTGACGTAACTGCAACAAATATAATTTTGAAAACACATCAGTTGTTTGTCCAAGATGCTCTTGGTGGCAACCCTTCCATGCCTTTACTATAATGGAAAAAGTTTTCTTCTGGAAAAAACAACAACAAAAAAAACCAACAACAAAAACAAAAACAAAGAATTATTATCTGTATCTACATTACCTTCGAACATAAATTTTATTTCAAATTTTTACACCATAAGTTATTTCTTCATCTAATTTCTCATGAAAATTTGACTGATTTGCGCTTAGCATGTCTAGGAATCCAATTTACAAGCCAGCAGTGGACTTCCCAGCTACAGCAACTTTCTGCATTCATTTACACTACAAACACCATTTTATTGTTTCAACAAGCTCATGTGTTATTCTGCTGTATGCACCAATAAGATAGATTTACAGTGAAATTTTATAAGTTATCCTTCAAAAATATAAGAGGTAAAATGATCTGACTGAAAAACATATCTTCAAATGAACATAACCTTATTCTTGTTTTTCTAACATTTGTATTAAATTTTGGTGATTCAGATGCATTTCTACCCATTTAAGTTCAAATTTTCTTTGTTTAGTCTCAAGCTCAAGGATCTGAATTGAATCCATTACCAGTTCCTCATCGATTGTATACCAATAGTAATGAAAACCCAAGAACAATGACAGATTGGAACATATTTCTCTAAAGGAAGTACACAACATGCCACCTATGATAAACATTAGAATGTCTACTCATCAATAAGCTCAAGTACCAGTGCACTGAACAAGATAACACCACATGCAAGTCTACTTTTTCTTTTGCAACTGATATAATATGTTTTAATATCTCATATTGAATTATTGAATTATGACATAGTAAGGACACACTCAATGTCATGCAAACTAGCAGATAGAGGAGCATCACCGCAAACCGAACTAAAAGAGCCTATGTCTTGACATGGATGCACAGACAATAATGTCATAACTTCAAGAACTAACAAAAAATGCTGCAAAAGATTAACGTTGTTCTTTCACAAATGTGACATGAGTAAGGGATGAATGGGCATGAAATAAAATGTAGCACATGCATGATACCCCCGTAGCAATTTAAAATGAACTCTTTTTTTAAATATAATTTAAAATTTAAAATGAACTCCAGAAACAAACAACATCCATTCCTCCCTAGATGACTAGATCTAAATGAGTTATCTTATGCAACTAAACATTTAGCAGGATTTGACCACTAAAGTCATTACCACATCGTCGCCAGCTTTCATCTCCACCTGTGGAAGAACAATTAATCTTGAGTCTCGGCTTTCTGGGGTTGTAGGCTTCCTCCGGCCAGATAAATTGGAACTCCGATCAAGGGATGAAGACAATGCCCCAGCTCTCAGTCCACCAGAAAATGATGGTGATCGAGCAGATGGTGAGGAAATCTTTGAAACGGTCTTTCTAGTTGAGCTGCTGCTACTACTGTCCGGTGATAAAGTTGTAACTTTTTTTGAAGATGAAGAGACTGATAATGTTGGCCTAATTGAAGACTTCTTGACAGTCTCTGATTTATTTATCGAAGACCCAGTTGATGTTGTCAGATTCCGATTTGCAGATGACACAGGAACTGACTTCCTAGTCTCAGAAAGGCTTGCTTTGGATGTGGGTTTTGTAGCAACAGAAGGTAATGAACTCCTCCTAAGCTCTGGAGCAGACCGCCTGACTGGTTCTACAACTGAACGAATGGTAGTTTTTTTGCCTGAAGTTGTACTAATATTGCTTCCCGATCTTGTAGTGGAGGTAGATGACTTTTCAGAAGCACCTCCGGTGCTGTTTCGTCTAGTAACCGAAATTGACTTTGAATTCCGTAATGAAGAAGATACTGTGGCTTTTGTTAGACTTGAACTTAAAGTAACTCCACCTGTAGATTCCGTTTTCTTTATAATTGAAGCTGCTGGTGCTAATAACAATGATGCTTCAGTGACACCAGTCTTTGCAGACTCCGTACCCTTTTTTGTACCATCAGCTGCATTTCCGGAGGATTGTTTCTCTAAATTCTGGGGCTTTTCAACAAAGCCTTCTGTTGATTGTGCAACTGAGTCCTCCATTTTCAGTTAAGCTAACTCAAGCCAAAGACCTAGCAGCCTGATCCTGGAAAAATGGAAGTGAAAATAAAAGGACTATATGAGTTGAATCTTTTGACGATTGGTTTACATTGCATGAAGATGTCTTTGGTTTTAAATAACTCGCCGTTCAGGCTATAGAGGAGAAGCTGCAGAACAAAGTAGCAGCTAAAAAACCATAATTTCCAGTATACTGCCTTCGTGAAGATAGAGAAAATAATAAAATGCTCCTGTCGGTGAACAAAATGGTGAAAAATAAAACCAAAAAGAAGAAGAAAAAAAAAACTTCGAGCTTTGATCAGTTCCTAACTTTCACTTGCTCTAATTATTTGTTTCAGTTAACGTGTCAGTTTCACTTACTTGAAGGAAACAAGTAAACAACCAAAATACTTTTTTAGGTGAAACGCAAACACAATTTAATATCTAAAAATAAAGAATACGATAATCCACTTCTAATTCCTACTTTCCTCTTGTTCTCAACCACCAGACACCAAACAATAACAATGCAACTGAAACCACACCATTCGCACACACGAAAATATAGAAATTTAAAGAAAAAAGGAAAAGAAATCACTCGTAAGCACAAAATTCAGCAAAAAATTAACAAAATAATAACCGCAGCATCCATTTCCGAAACCAGAATCTCAATTCCTAAATAATCGTAGAACGTAGGTTATTTAGCCAGTATTTGAACAAGTTTAACCCCAGTTGAAAACGAGAAGGACTTGAAAAAAAAATAACTGAGAATCGAATGCGAAAATAGAAAAATTCTTTAACACAAAATTGAACCAGAGAAGCTTACTTGAATTAAAATAATAGAATGTAGGTTACTTCTCTAATATTTGAACAAGTTTAACCTCAGTTGAAAACGAGAAGGACTTGAAAAAAAAAATGAGAATCCAATTCGAAAATAGAAAAATTCTTTAACACAAAATTGAACCAGAGAAGCTTACTTGAATTGAAACAACAGAATGTAGGTTACTTAGCCAATATTTGAACAAGTTTAACCTCAGTTGAAAACGATAATGATTTGAAAAAAATAAAAGAAAAAAAAAAAAGAAATGAGAATCCAATGCGAAAGAGCAAAACTCTTCACGCAAACTTAAACCAGAGAAACTTACTTGAAACGAAGTAATTCACCTCAGATCTAGTGAATTAACAAACGGAAACTGAAAAGATCGCTTGACATCGTTAGGGTTTTCGGTGCTCCGCAGGAAAAAAAGGGGCAAAAGTAAAGGAAGAAGGAAGGCGAACAGGAAGAAAAAAGTGAGCAAGTACAGAGAGATCACTTCAGAGACCGAGGGAGTGGAGTGTTATTTTTTTGTTTATAAGCGAAAAAATAAATGCTTTTTTCTAGAATAACGTTAAAAAATAAAATAATAATAAATTAATTTTAAAATAAAATAATAAGAAATTAGTTTAAAATGGCGGAAAATTAGCTGCCTTTGTCTTTTCAAATAATTGGGTATGTTTGGTGTCTGATTTAACATTACGTTATAATTATGTGTTAGTTTGTCTTATTTGTGAAAATAGTTATTTACATAAAAATGTAAAAAAAAAAATTTAATTAATTTATTATTGTATAATTTCAAAATATATATTATATT